CCGGACGGCGTGGATCCTCTGATAGCCGGTAATTCACTTACGGGGATGTAGTTGATTTGCCCAGGTCGGTTGATTGGAGAAAGAAAGGAGGGGTTACTCGTGTGAAGAACCAGGGGTCTTGCGAGCGTTGTTGGGCGTTTGCAACGGTGGCTGCTGTGGAGGGGATAGACCAGATTGTCACCGGAGACTTGACGGAGCTGTCGGAGCAAGAGCTTATCGACTGTGACACCACATACAACAACGGGTGCAATGGCGGTCTAATGGATTATGCATCTTCTTTCGCAACCTTGAATTTGTCTATTGTGCCATCAACTTTCAGTTTCTTTTTTAAAATCTATTTGCAACTTATAGGTTTGCAACCTGGTGGGAGATCCACTAAAATCAATATGTTATTCCTCATTATGGAATTCATTTCCTCATCTATGGCTTCCTTCCAACAAGCTGAATCTTGTGACTTAATTGCTTCTTCAAATGTCACAGGATCAGCTTCTATATTATAACAAAATCTTGTTCCTTCAATAAGAAACATGTAAAATTTTGGACCATATGTTCTTGCTTTTCTAGCTCTTTTTGCTTCTTCTAACTTCAATGTTTTCTTTCAACTTGTTTTCTTGCAAGTTGTTTTCTATTCTTTGTTATGAACTTTCAGCAATTGTTTCTTTAGGTCTAGGAATTGAATTAAATCTGCTCTCTTCAAAGATAACATCTCTTGACTCAATTATAGTATTGATATTAATTGAATCATTTGGTTCAATGACCATAAACCGGTATGCCTTACTATTTTCTGCATATCCCAAAAATATACATTCGATTCCTCTTTCACCTAACTTTTTCCTTTTGGGTTCAGGTACCCTTACAATTGCTCTACAACCCCAAACTCTTAAATAGTTAAGGTTCGTTTTCTTTTCTTCCAAAGTTCATATGGGATAACTTGGCCTTTTTTAGTAGGCACCCTATTCAATATATGGCATGTTGTTAGCAATGCTTCACCCCAAAAACCTGGACTGAAACTAGAATTTGACAACATGGCATTCACCATTTCAGTTAAAACTCTATTCTTACGTTCTACCACACCATTTTGTTGTGGTGTGTATGGGGCTATTATCTCATGGATAATTCCAATGGATTCAAAGTAAGATGGATCATAATATTCTCCACCTCTATTAGTTCTTAGACATTTGATAAATGTCTCACTTTGCAATTCCACTTCTGCTCTATAAACTTTGAATTTTTTTCATTGCTTCATCTTTTGTATTTAACAAGTAAACATAACAGAATTTTGAATAATCATCAATAAAAGTAACATAATATTTCTTGCCACCAATAGTAGGAGTACCATGCATGTCACAAACATCACTATGCACAAGATCAAGTAATTTAGAAACTCTTTCAATCTTAGGAAAATGAATTCTAGTAATCTTAGAAAGCATACATGTCTTCCATTGTGATTCATTTTTAGGCAAGGTAAGAATTAATTCTAATTTAGACATCTCATGCATCTTCCTGAAATTAACATGTCCTAATCTATGATGCCATAAATTAAATGAGTCAGGAATATAAGCAGAAACAACACCCTTATTATTAGTATTATTATTAATGTTCATCTTGAACATGCCCTCACAAGCATAGCCTTTTCCTACAAAAATCCCACCCTTAGACATAATAAATTTATTTGCCTCAAATACAAGTTTAAAACCAAATTTGTTCAACAAACTTGTTGAATATACGGCACATAATGCACATTAGTGAGAGTGAGAACTTTTCCAGAAGTGAACTCAAGGTCCACAGTTCCTTTGCCTTTCACTTGTACTGCTGTAGAATTTCCCACATACAGCACACTCCCTTCAGGTTCTAGTTTTTAAGTCTTGAATAGACTTTTGTCCTTGCAAACATGCTTTGTAGCACCAAAATCTATCCACCAAGCAATGTCATCTTCCATGAGATTAATTTCAGAAATCACAGCAATGAATTTTTCATGTGATAATGCTGGTGCATTCCTTTTCTTCTTGAGAAAATAACTCTCCCTTTTGAAGTGTCCAGTTTTTTCACAATGGAAACATGCACCCTTTTGCTTCTTAAATTTTTTATTTTTCTTGACAGAATACTCCTTCTTGAAAGGCTTTTTGGGCTAGCTTGAAGTTCCTTCCTCCAATACATGGACATCCGAAACTTGCACTTTCAGCTCCTTTTCATTTTCTACTCTATTTTGCTCTTCAAGTCTCAAAGAGTTAGCAAGATTTTCAAGAGAAATATCTTCCTTTTTATGTTTCAGTGTTCTCTTGAAATCTTTCCATGCATGAGAAAGTTTATCAATTATTGAAGACACAACTATGGATTCATCCATCTTCATATCATATTGCTTGAAACTATTCAGCAACTTTTCAATTTCTCTAAATTGTTCCATGACTGATTTGTTATCAATCATTTTATAATTATTCCATCTGGTCACCAAAAACTTCTTACTTGTTGCATCTTCATTCATATATCTTGCTTCTAACTTATCCCACAATTCTTTTGCAGTAGACTCATGAACATAGGTATCAAAAAGGGAATCAGACATACCATTTAAGATGCAGCCCCTGCAAACATAATCATTGTTCTCCCACTTTTTCCTTTTCCTTTTCCTTGTATCTTGCAAAGTTTCATTCTCATTTTCCTCTGGTCGAGCATCAGTGAGAACATAACCGATGTTGAGAGTTGTGAGAAAGATGTGCATCTTACGTTGCCATCGAATAAAGTTGCCCCCATCAAAGCAATCTAACTTCTGGAAATTAGTAGCCATCTCACACAAAGTTGCAGCCATAATTGCAAAACAGAAAATTAGCCTAAAGATTGTTGGAGAAATAAGGTAGAAAACCTGCAAATAACTTCAAGGCATGCTGCAAATGCCACTTTCCTTTAGGCTAATTTCGCCTCCACCAGATCTGGTATGCAAAAGGGGTAACCTGAAATACCCGTAGGATACAATGAAGTGCCTTGTTGATCTTACCTTTGCACTAGCAAGATCAACCACTGAACCGTCCTTTGGAAAGCGACAAAACAATAGTTTTTGTACAATGATTTCTGCAGCAATTAAAGTGCAAAATGGGGCTGTTTTATTTAGATAATAGTAGGGGTTTGTTTCTAGGTTCAAGAGACGAAGAAGAGGAAGAAATAACTTCATATTTATAGGGGCAAGATGTTTGTTGGGAACAGACACTCTTTTTCAGTTTATTATCAATTTATTAACGAATAGTAACCGAGTTTTCATGAAATTTATCCTTTGGAAACTCTTTCAAAAGTCATTTGGTTTGATTTGAACTCCAACTCACATGTTTCCTTGCCTTCCAAAGTTATCCACTCCTTTCAAAAACTTATCAGAATTTCATCTCTTATTTCTGACGTAAATGGTTTAAACTAGATAAATGTGATTCGAATCAATATCATAACTTTCTGGATTTTGGTTTTACGTAAATGGTTCAAATCATAATTATATGGTTCGAACCAAAGTTACACTTTCTCAAATGCATTTTGTGCAATTGCTTCGAATCAACTTTTTGTGGTTCGAACCCAAATCCTGGAAATATTATGAAAATTCTTCAACACATTTTTCCAAATTTCTCCCCCTCATTGAAATCAGGTGGACTAATCTCAGTAATGCTCGCTGCCCCGTTGCATGTTATGCCAAGCCAGCTGCAATGGTCTACAACATTGTTGGTGGAGGCATTCCACCACCCACTCTTCCTTGGAGCTTCTGCCTCAGGTGTTGGCACTGCCAGTCCCGGTACCATGAAGTTTACTTTGTTATTCTCCTCTACTCTCCCCTCAAATGAACTTTCAAGAAAGCTTTCCCCACTAATATCTTCTTTGGCTTAAAACAGGTTTGGCATATATTACCATAGATGATGAGGCAGCTTAGACTTCATATCCATGGATGAAGAGGACACATCACGACCCAGGTGTTTAATTTTCTATTATTGGACAGAGTTTTTTTTTCCGAGGAAGTAACCACGAAATTGCCTAGATCACCTACAAAGAAGAATGAATTTCACCATTCCTAGACTAATTTTTTTTCTCTTAAATTACAAAGACTTGGAGATTGATGTCTCGCCTCAAAATTAATACCCTTTGGTTAAGCGGTTGTTGTAACGTAACTTTAGGTGTCGAATCCATAGGGAAGCTATATTAAATCAACAAAAAGAGTTGTCACAATGAGAAATTAAATTAAAAGATGAATTCTAAAATTAAGAATAAAAATATTTAAATAAAAGATGATAATTGTAAAAGATTAAAAACAATATTATGATGAACAAGACTTCAGGGTTCACTTAATTGATTTGTTTAACTGTTATAAATTTTGATTCTTATTTATTACTCAATTACATGTTTCACATCCCAAACAAAAAATCGGAAGATTCAACTTTGAAAACCAATAATAATGACTAATGTATTTATTCTGAGAAAAATTAATTTCAATGAAGAACAAACTGATCCTTATGAGCTATCCGAGAGCAACAATATATCTAATCGACAATACTGCAGTAAAGGATCAATCCGCAAAACAAATCTACCAATCAATTATATTCTAACAAATCACACATAAAAAGAACATGACTAATCTTATATGAAATTTGATAAATATAATTTTCAGGGTTTTCAGATATGAAAATAATTAACAATCTCTCAAAAATAAAATTAAACAGTAAAATTTATGAAGGAATCAAAATAAAATAACAAGTCAAACTCTTTAATCAAGATCCTCCCTAGTCTTGTTGAAAGTTTAGTTGCCGTTTGACATAATTCTCTAACCTTGAAGAAGAAAATAGAAGCCTGATAGCCACCTCTTCAGGCTTTGGAACCCCTTCTTAAATAACTTGGATGGGTCTTTATAGAATCCTAGAAACCCTAATTAGAATGGCTGTGGGGCCCACATCACAATAAGTAGGACAGATATGATTTGGCTGAATTATCGCGCAAGGGGTTGACACTCTTTACAAGGTGCCGGTACTTTGAGTGGAGCGTCAACTGCATCCTCGTGTCGGGTTTTTGGCCTTTTGTGCAATTTTGGTTAATGGCAGAATGACAGTCTTGGTCCCTGACTCCTAGATTCCACGCAAGTTGATCATCATATTTCTGATCTTTGCAATTTGCTCCTTGCATTTAAGTCCTTTTTCTAATTCTTCTCCATTTAACATCAACCTTCAATCACCTTAAAATTTGCACAACATGAATAAAATGAACACTTATGAAATTACTTGTAGAAAAATAAAACTCTTAAACCCATAATTCCACAAATGTTAATGGTTAAGCACACTTTAGATATACATTTTCATGCTTTCATCACAACCCCCAACCAGCTTATTGCTAGTCTCTAGCAATTCAAGCATGAATTAAGAAAGAAAGCATGCTGATTAGCTCAAAAGGGTATTTAGCAAGACTACCTAGGCATTTAGAAAAAGATCACAGTCGCTATCAATATTACTTCAATTGTAACTTCCAAAAGTGTATGTGTGTGAACTAAGCATAACCTTCATACCACAAACCACAACATATATAGCCTTGAGAATTAGTCAAAGTAAAAGCCTCAACTCCATATCCTCACATGTTAATAACTGTTTAAGGCAAAGGACTTCTCTCATGGAGTTGGAAAGCAGCAAATCACTCAAAGGAAAAGGCAAAATTTAATGGACAATCAAACAAACAAACATTGATTAGAAGATAGGCTAGTTAGTTATTTAAAATTCCACTACTCGTACTCCAAACTAATTTCAGGATTTCAATCAATCAAATATGAGAGCAATACAAGTAGAGCCTAGTGAGAAAAACTGTTCCCTCAAAAGAAAGTTTGTCTTCTAAATTGATGGAAGACTTTATTTGGTAGAATTTTTTTT